GTCCCGTGCCCCACCCCCAGCTGGGCAGCGCCTGCCCCACCCCCAGCCCCACTCCCTCCCTCACTGAGGGAGCCTTGATCCGCTTCCTCCACCGCCCCTTCCCTCCCCTTCTACCACAACAGACTTACCAGGTGGACACAGGGCTCCACGCTGGCAGGCTATGCTTCTCACTGCCTACATGCTGTGCTGCAGCTGTGTGCATGCATGGGGCATTTATTGGCCACATTATCAGCTACATCATGCAAAAAAAGCCAATTGCCAATACAGTCAATTTTCTTTATGTCAGTGATGATCCGATATTGGACTGATGTATCAGTGTACCTCTAACAATACACACACACACACACACACACACACACCCTGTATTGGTTATAAAATATACTAGCTCAGTTAAATAAGGTGCTGAATAACGCAGTAACTTTTCAGAGGAGAGTTTGTAAATTGTGCTTTAAAGAATAAAAAGTCAGTTATATTTCTTTTCATAGGGTGCATCTACACAAGATGCTTTACTGCAGAGTCGACTAATTAGCTCCACAGTAAAGTGTCACTGTCTACCCGTTTGCCCCCATTAGGCCAAAGTAAACTCATTAACTGCAGGAAAGTATTGCCTGACACAAGTACTATCCTATAGTGGAGCTATTTACTCTGCCACAATGCATATGTATATGTTAAGGGTGCTACAGTGCAGGGCCTGCCTGCTGGCTAGCCCTGCACTGGAACACACCCATGCCCCAGCCAGCTGCTCTGCAGCACATTGAGTTCGGCATGAGCAGCTCTGGGCTAGGAGGCTGGCCCCCTGGGCCCTCTGCCAGCTGGGGCTGTGCCACTCCAGGTCAATGTGCTGTAGTCCCGGGTGCATATGTAAATGCTGCATCCAGCAGCAATAAACTCTGGTGTGAACTGCACCAAAATTTATTGTGTTGTGTTAATTCATGTGTAGACATGCCCAAATTTAACCTGATCCAAAGCATATTGAAATCAATGATTCTGAATCAGGCCTTTGATGGATTTGCTTTCAGTGTCCTTTTGTTCATCTTCATCAACAAGTGGCAGGGGCAGTCTCTGACACATGGTAATGAAGGAGAAGACAGGCAGAACTGTGGCATATAGGGCAGGAAGCAGAAAATAGAGTGGCAGATGGGGCCAGAAAAGGGGGATCACAGTGGCATGTGGGAGTGTGTGGGACTAATATGTGGCATGCCTGCCATAAAGGTTGGCCACCACTGGTATATGGTAATGGTGAGTTAAACAAAATTCCTGTCTCTGAATGTGGGGAGGACTGTTGGCCTGTAAAAACATAGTTTGAGAAGACAGAGTTTACTTTAGGGATTATGGGCAGAAGAACATCCAGCAAGGAGGGGAGGAGAGGGGAGGGAGAAGAGGGGAGAAGAACTTGTTTGGTATGAAGGACATCTTGTTACCTTTGGTTGCTTGTGCTTTCCATTTCTCCCGGTTCTGTTGCACCACCTCAGTCCAGGTGGCTTTAAAACATTTGAAATCCACAGTGAGTATGGAACAGTTGATTGAGGCACTTCCTTCTGATCCAGTGCTTTTGACACTTGATCTTTTAACTTCTGAGGGGCTAATGCTATTCAAACTGGGAAACAAGATTACAGAACGTAACAGGAATCAGCATTTTATACACCTTATCACATCTAAGAACCAATTAAAAATTGGATTTTTTTCTGGAATATTACAATCACAAACTCCCTGCATAACTAAATACATCTTGATTTAAACTCAGTTTTCCACTGAAGTGGTTGACATGCCATTTTCTCAGGTGAAAATTCTGCCCAAAACTTTTACATGCCTTGCTACCAGCTGAAAAACTACTGAATCTCCTAAATCTTTACTTAGGTGCCTCTGACAAGCCTCTTATTCCCTGACTCACCTTTCTATAGGCCACCAGAACCTACAAAACTAGATGCTTGTTAAAAATGGAGGTAAGAGAGGTAGGATCGTAACTGGGAGTGGGAGAGATGATTAAAACTTGACTAAAACTGGCAAGATAGTTGAGCAACAAAAATCAGATCCAATTTAAACCCTCAAAACTTCATGGACATCTTGTATCTGGGGTTTTGGTGGGTTTGGCCATTACAAAAAAGGGGGCCATGAAATCTAGCTTCAGATTCTGAATTGCCCCAGATTTTAGGGGTGTTCACATTTGCAGTTTTCATATTTTGAGGGATGCATAATACCAAAAATTGCATTCTTTTGTATACTATATGTAGTGATAAAAGTTATAATTTAGAGATGCTTCCTAAATTTAGAAGAGTTAGGAACCGAGCAATAGTCTCCTAGGTAGTAGCAAGTTAGTTAGAGAAATAAAGGGTCTTCAGAGACTCGTCTACTGCTCCACAATAAAAGTTATTTAGTTTTTTTCATTCATGTGTACTTGTATTTATTGAATCCTATGATCTCTACGCTATATAAGGATGTAACAAGAATGAATGAAAGACAGGGAAAATGTAGGGTGATTATTAATGGCAAGACCTATTAGACTCTTGAATAGATTCCCAAGAGAAGGGGCTGAAATTAGGGCTGTGCGAAGTTTCCGTTGCTGATTTGATTCAGTGGAGATTTGGCCCGATTCAGTGGCCAAATCTCCGAATTGAATCAGGAGACCCTTTAATCTCTCCGAATTGAATTGGAACCCTCTGAATCAATTCGGAGAGATTCAGAAAGATTTGATGATTCAGACACAGACACAGCTTTAAATATTTTTTCTGCATACCTCAAAGTACCAGGCAGCTCGTGAATGCTGAGATGCTGGGGCGGATGGAGCATCCCACAGGAGTGCAAGGGGGAGGAGGGGTCTCCAGCACACTTGGCAGCAGACCCAGAAGTGGACCAGAAGCACTTCTGAGTCCACTGGGGAGCATGCAGGGGACCCTCCCCCCCACATACTCCCTGGCTCAGCAACTGGTGCCTCCCCAGGGTCCCCCCTGCAGCTGATTGCTGAGCTGAGAGAGTGTGGAGGGGGTTTACCAACGAGTACACAGAGGGGCCCCCCGCACTCCTGTGGGATGCTCCATCTGCCCCAGCATCATAAGCCTGATACCTCGATGTATATAGAAAAAACATTTAAAGTGGTCTATGGCTGAATCGCTGATTCTCTGAATCAGCACCGAATCTTCAGATTCAGATTTGGCTGAATCAAATCAGGACAGTGATCTGAATCAATTAATCGAAACACTGTTCCTGATTTGGGCTGAATCCAAATCCAAATCAAATACAGCCTGTTTTGCACACCCGTAGCTGAAATCCTATTGCTGTAAACATGTCATCTATAGCTAGACTAGATAACTCCATGTAGTGTGTACCCTCTCTGGAATGACAGACGAGCTTCATAACCTAATATGTCTTTTCTCTGTCTCATTTCTATTACTCTAATTAGCAATGGTGAGCCTCATATGGGCTATCAGATATGTTATAGTTATAAACCTTTTGAATGACCAACACTAAACTAGTGCCTGATGCATCCCAGAACTTGCCAAGGAGAAACTCTAGTCTTCTTGACAGATCTTCTGACAGGATGTAAGGTTAAATGAAATTAAGATTTTAAATTCCAAGTAATTCTGGCAGTGCCCTAAATATTTACTTAAGTAATTCGTTAGATCTGATTGTATTTTATTTCTTTCATTTCTATGACCAGTCCCATTTATGTCTATTCTGGGAGATTTTAAGGGAAAGCAGAACCTAGAGAATGTCTCTGCTAACCCCCCTATGAGTTCAAAATGAAAAGCAACCACAAAAGTGAGGTACTGCTGATGTACCAAAGGAAAGGCAGACGTGGGTACTCACCTGGAACGCCTAAATCCTGACATGCCAGAGCGGGTGGCTTCATCAATGAGTGGTGTTACAATCTTCTCAGTCATGTCAGTTAGCACAGTGAAAGTAGGTTCCACAATGAAATCAATAAATCCTGAATGAAAATACCACAAAGCCAAGCAGAAGAGGTAAGCATTTATATGTCATTACTGCTTATGACTTATCTAATCTTACAACAGGTAGGAAAAAAACGAATTAAATGTTGAAAGAGGAACTGAAAAAATTACAGAGAAAAAATGACATGACATTAATCCCTGCCTCATGAGCCTGTCATCTGAAGAGCTTGCAATAAAAAGTGGCTTCTTATATGCTGGAAAGCAAATGTTGCAAATCAAAATACAAACAGATGTTTTATGAGTTTTGTGGGTATCTAAGCCAAATTCCTAGTACAGTTGGATAAAAGCCAACTCTACAGATGAGATAGCAGGAAACAGAAACATGGAATAACAGTAATAATAATGATAGGCTGAGCTGGGTGTCTGTTTAAAGTGATGTGAAGTTACATACACAAATCCCTTATCAAATATCAACAGGTTTTGGTGAACAGTTCCACTTGAATACTTACCCAGCTTGTTCTTGTTGATAGTCAAACAGTTTGGAGGCTACTTAGTTATTTTTAACGACTTCATTTTATTTTTTTTAATCCAAAGTAGATGGAAAAATGCACAGCCAAACCATTCATTCTCACAGTATGTGCACAGATAGGTTGTGGCACGGGGAGAGAGAAAAAGAAATCTTTTCCCAACTCAGTGTGATGCAAGCCACAGGGATAGATCTTCCCACAGGACCTCCAACAAAATTCAGGATTTTAAGTACTCTGCAGCCATGCACTTCTGTCGGGTCCAGCTGTAGACCACTTCCAAGAGGCAGACCATACAATAAATTTAACTCCTGTCTGCTGCAAACTGCTATCTGGGTGTCCCAACTTCCCAGTTCTGTATCTTAATTTGTTTGGATTTGTTTTAAATTTACCCCAACTATTGATTTCCTGGGTTTACAGTGCTTCTTCTGGGTATAATATGCAGTATTGCTATGAAATATTATTCTAAAGTATTGCTATCAGCCTAAGCTCCAATTTCTCATATTTCTTTTCTGAAAATTTCCCTGTGTTTTACATTTAAATTTGCATACCTGCACACTAAAGACAGTGAAGAGAATGTGACCATGTGATATTTTTTGGGACCTGAAGGTAAACAACAACCTTAAATCATGTTTATCAGGGGTGGTGAAGCTTCAGTCGTGAATTTGATTCAGAGAAGATTTGGCCCGATTCAGTGGCTGAATCATTGAATCCGAATTGAATCAGGAGACCCATTAAAAGCTCTGAATAGACTCAAAGGATCCAAATTGATTTGGAAAAGATCCAGAAAAGATTCAGCAATTCTACAATTTGGAAGGTGGTCTTGCAGGAAAACAGAAACTGAGAAGAGGGAGGGGGAAAGGAGTGGAGGATATTGACATCTGTAGCTAGCCACTGACTGTGATCTTTCCCTGAGTTCCCTTCCAATCTCTAGGGGACGGATGTAGAAACAACATATAAGGCTCTGTGTGAAGCCTTTATCTGCCTTTTGTGAGCTGTCTGTCAAGGTACTGGCTGCAGTGGCTGGCTTCCTAGTCAGTCTCTTGCTAGTCTCTCTTCTTGGAAAGGATTGGATATACCTTACTAATTACCCTTGCCTAGAAACTCTCTACTTATCCCTATCCAAACCATTCCTTTCAACTTATTCGTCTCCCCAAATCTTCTTATTTGTTCCTGTTATTCCCCCCCCCCCCCCCCC